TATATATATATATATATATATATATACATATATATGTATATATATACATATATATACATATATATGTATGTAAATTGGTTGTTGATGGACTCATATAGCTAGATTGTTGGGAGGTAGAGTTGGTTCGCTCATTTGTGATTTGTCTGGTTTGTGAATTTAGTTTGTAGATTTGGCTTTGAATTGTTGAGTTCGATTTATTCCCCCCCTTTTTTGCATTATTGTTTTTTCTCTTATTTTTAATTTTTTTCCTTTTACTTTATTTCTTTTACATTCGCTTTACTTTTACTTTTGTACTTTTACTTTTTTGGTTTTTGTGTAGATAGCATTTTTGGTTTTTATTTACTTACTCATTCTTTAGTTACATAGATTTGCATTATTTTACATAATATTTGCATTTTATTATATATTCTATTGTTATTGTATAGTCATATGTTATAGAATTATATATAACTATTCTTTTACATATTTACATATTATACTTTAATTCACGTTTTATTGCGTTTATTATATTTCACTATACTTATTTTTACTTGTTCCTCTAACTTTCCCTGGATAGCATAGTAGGGCATGACTAGTGATAGTAGAGAGGCAAGGTCTCATCAGGGCCTTGAGGCCAGCTCTTCAGATGAGGAGCTCCTCAGGGATCACTACCAGGTGCTGAGGACCATCAGACATGGGGGATTCGCCCTCATCAAATTAGCCAAGCACCTGCTCACGGACACCCTGGTGGCGGTGAAGGTCCTCAATAAGAAGGAAAACCCCTTCTTTGCCACCGAAGTGGACGTTTTTAAGTCTTTAGACCACCCGAATGTGGTAAAATTACTTGAAATTATAGAAACCGAACAGTGGTTGTATTTTGTGATGGAGTACCTCGAGGGAGGAGACCTAGTAGATTACCTCCAAGAGGCCGGCAGGATGGAGGAGGAGGAGGCCAGGCCTCTGTTTAAACAAATCCTCAGTGCAGTCAAATACTGCCATGACAACCGCATTGCCCACCGCGATATCAAGTTACAAAATATCTTGCTAGACCAAAAGGGCAAAGCTAAATTGTGTGACTTCGGGGTAAGTACACGGTTCACACTTGGGGAGGAGCTGGATTACGAATGTGGAACAGTGTCCTTTTGGCCCCCTGAGCTGTTCTTGCACCAGAAATACCAAGGTCCCAAGATGGACGTTTGGAGTCTAGGCATAGTACTATATGGTATAGTGATGGGCAAGTTGCCTTTTAGAAGGGAGAGCTCAGCTAATTTGAAAAGACAAGTATTGAATGGCCCATTCCCAATTCGAAAAACCTTCTCCCAAGAACTGAGAGGCCTCTTCGCTTTTCTATTAACGGCGAATCCTGAGCAGAGGCCCTCGTTGGGGCAAGTAATGAAGCACCCCTGGTTCAGAAAAACCAAGCCATTTGCACCAACTCCCAGCCAGACTGTCTCGAAGGAACCAGACCCTGCCATCTTAGACATCATGTATGACTTGGGATATGACTCATCTGAGGTGCGAGCAGCCCTGTCAGGCAGGACATACAACGGTGCCCGGGCAACATATTTCCTGCTGCTGGAGCAGAAGGACCAAGGGCAAGACCTCACCCGCTATATGAGGCACTCGGTTTCTGGGCCTCCACAATGCCCTGTGCGTGTGTACTCATCCTCCTCCGATACCCCCAAAACAACCTGTCGTCCTGCTTCTCACACTACCACCTGCCTGCCCGCTGAGCAGCAGAAGCAGGAGGGAGGCCATCTCTATGTGTTTTCCCCGCCACCTCTGCAACCCCTGTATAAGGAGAGACTGGGGACAAGCAGCCACTTCCTGCTCCAGCAGCAGCAGGAAACTCCTGGGACAGCGAAGGGGAGATAGAGGGCAGCGAACACTTTCACCTGGTCCAGCAGCAGCAGCAGCCCCTCTCCCACTTAGCCAACTCAATGGCTTGACCTGCCCTCCCACAGAGCAGGAGTCCCAAGAGAGCAGCCAGAACTGCCCCAGAGCTGAATCTCTCCCACCTATACATGGACATGTGGCACACAGGCGGAGACGGAGAGCAACTCACCTGTCCCATATCGAAAAGATCCAATAGTCTACTGGACGGGCGAGGAGGAGGAAGAAGAGGAGGAGAGCAGCAGCTTGCCCCAAAGCCCAGCAACAACAGAAAACACATTAAAGGGCACAAAAAAGGCAGAAGAGGAAGAGAAAGAAGAGGATGGTGAGGAGGAGGAAAAGAAGTGCAAGTTACCCCCAGGCTCAGGAGCTGCCAAAACCACCCTCCAGGGCACAATGGGGAAGATGAAGGGCAGCACACCTCCTCTCTTGAGTCCAGAGGTTGCATCTTCTCAGCCCACTGAATTCACCACACCCCCAACAAATAATGAAGCCAGGGGCTGGAAGAGGCTGAAAAAGAGAATTGGAAATTACTTAAGAAGACTCTGTTGCCTGCCTTGGTAAGAGAACCCCCAAAGGAAGTAGTTCCTCCTCTCTGAGTGGAGAACAGCATTGAGGCCTGTAAACAAGCCACTGAGCTGTGCCCTGTGTTTTATCTATGCTTCAAGGAAATCCTTGTAGCTAATCAACCCTGGGAGGGAGGTGGGGAGGTGAGAAAAAGAAAAGAGGGACTGAGGAAGGGGGGGGGGCAGGATCTAAAGGGATAGAGATTCAGAAAGAAGAGAATGTGACCTGTCAGATGTTGTCCTGTGCAACTCAGTCCCTGCATTTTTTTTCTTCCAACAGCTGATGGGAAGGAGAAAACTTATCACTATGGTACCTGCCTTGACTCTGGACATGCCTGGACACTTAAATCCCTTCCTGCTCCTAACTGGAACAAGCTACACAAAAAACCTCTATTTCTTCCATTGTAGGTATTTCCTAGTAAAGTGCCTATTGTTACCAAACTTAATAGATTGATATTCCTGTGAGATGATAACCACATATACTCTGAGCATCTATTCTTCATTTTCACAGTGAGTACTTATGCTTGACTGGGAGTTAGTTCAAGAGTGTACTAGAGCCACTAGTCTGTGGCTCTTGCTTCTAGTCTAGGTATTCAGAGGACTGAGTTCTTGGAGGATTGCCATCCAAAGAGAATCAGTACAGAAGTCCTTTCTCCAATATTATCAGCATACAGGAGGGAGGGAGAAGGAGGTCAAGAAGTAGATAGTTATCTTATTAAACACAGCAAGTGCAAGGTCTCTACTTAGCTCCCAAGTACCCCAAAGTGCAGCTGTGTTCAAGTGGTAGAGGTCTTGCCTGGAGCAACAATTGTTCAGGGATAGCACCTAGGCCCTAAGTTTAAGCCCCAGGAGAGGCACGCACCCAGAAAAAATTTCAGCATACAGAGGGCAAAAATGCATGTCTGAAACAGATGACTAGTTTATCAAGCATAGCAAATTTGAGGTCTTGACTTCAAAATATTGATACTAGTTTTTTTAAAAAAGGTAATTACAGGGCTGGGAAGGTGGCTCAGTGGTAGAATGCTTGCCTTGCATGCATGAGGCCCAGGGTTCGATTCTTCAGCACCACATAATCAGAAAAAGCCAGAAGTGGAGCTGTGGTTCAAGTGGTAGAGCACTAGTCTTGAGCTGAAGAGTTGAGGGACAGCACCTAGGCCCACAGTTCAGGCCCCATGACAGACAAAAAAAAATGGTAATTACAAAGAATTCCCAGACCCTCAAGCAGCATCAATTATGTCTTTTTCAATGCAGAAACGTGGCCTCTCAGTGTAACCTACACACCCTACTTACCTGTGTATAATGTTTAGGAGCATTGCCTGCATTTTAGGCAAACATATCTAACTCACAGGGATTCAGTAATACCACACTGAAGTCCAGTAAGAGAAATGAAGGAATGGATTTCTAAATATGCTCACAACTCTAGTTTCAGCCCAATAACTATTGCTTTAGCTACTAGCACCTTTTACCTAAGAGGAAACTCATAAGACTTCACAGCTCCAAGAATTACAGTAGGGCTAAGAAATTGTCAAATCTAAAGTCAAACCACTCTACAGTCCCATTCTGGTGGCTCAGACTGCAATCCTAGCTCTTCAAGAGCCTGTGGGAACCAAGCAGAACAATCCATGAGACTCTCATCCCAATCAATCTGAAGATGTGGTGGTGTGGCTTATGAAGTTAGTGCAAGGGTTGTGCCATAAAGCAAAGGCCTCTAGTACTGTTATCCTCTCAGCTGCCCAAGTATTTTAGTGTTTATGGGAAATTTCAATTAAAAGTATGTAGAACAGGAAATATATATGTACATATATATGAAAATATATCTTTGCAAAAATAATTATAAAATTATACCAGATACTGTTGTGATCCCAGTGATTTGCAAAGTCAGGGTGGGTGTCAGACCTTCATCTAGAACCAAACTGTGTTCTGGCTTAGGCCAGGTGGGCCCAGCTTACATTACTGTAATGTACCTTTGCTTCTAACATGGAAGGTTTTCTCTATTTCTTAGAAAATGATATAGGGAGTTGGGTGGGTATTGCATTGTATTTGCAGATTCCTTTTGGCCTTGTTTTCATTGTCCCAATTGTTTCCAGAAATATGGGAATTCTTTCCATCTTCTGGTGTCTTCTTTAATTTCTTCCTACAGAGTTTTATAGTTTTCATTGTATAAGTCTTCACCTCCTTGACTAGTTTTTTGTTTAGGCAATTGCAAATGACGTTTTTCTCCTAATTTCCCTCTGCTTCTGAACACCATGGGTATACAGAAAAGCTACTTATTTATTGGAGAATGATTTTATATCCTGCTTTGTTACAAATGTCTTTGTCTTTATCAACTCCAAGAATTTGGAGGTTGAATCTTTATGGTCCTATGTATAACTTCATATCATATGTGAGGATTGATAGTTTGACTCCTATCTTTTTTATTTCAATCACATTTTTTCTGTTTCTCTTGCTTTTTTTGCTTTGGTTAGAAATTCCAGTACTAAATAGAAGAGTAGAGAGACTGAGTGTCCTTGTTCTTAATTTTAGAGAAGAGTTTCCATTTTTTTTCCTATTTAGAATAATCTTGACTGTAGGTTTTTCATATATAGCCTTTATTATGTTAAAGTATAATCCTCCTATTCCTGGTTTCCTTGGAGCTTTCACATTAAATGCGGGCAAACTACCACTTTAGCCCTGCAAATAGTTTAACTATTTGCTGGTTAATTGGATATAATGGTCTCCTGGGCACTAAATTCCTGCCTAGGCTTGTGTGTCATTCCTGGCAATATCAATGGGAAGTTGGCTAGGAAATATTTTGTTGAGATTTTTATCTATGTTCATTAAAATAACAACTATTGTTGTTGTTTTTGAGTTTCGGTATAGTTTTTAATTGAGTGTAATGCTGCCATCATAGAATAAGTTTGGTAGTGATCCCTCAACTTCTATTTCACGAAAAACTTGAGGAGTATTTGTGTTTGTTTTTGTTGTTATTGTCTGCCAGTCTTAGGTCTTGAACTCATGGCCTGGATGCTGTCTTTGAGCCTCTTTGTCCTCAAGGCTAGTGCTCTGCCGTTTGAACCACAGACCCACTTCTAGCTTTTTCTGAGTAGTTTATTGGAGATAATAGTTTCACAGACTTTCATGATGGGCTGGCTTTGAATCATGACCTTCAGATCTGTTTCCAGAGTGTGTAGGATTGCAGGCTTGAGCCACCAGCACTTGGCTTCATGTCCTTATTTAATTGCTATGTGTGGATATAAACAAAGAACTTATCAGGTTCTGGCTTTTCTTTCTTGGAAGATTCTTATGTCAATTCAATCTCATCTCAGTACTTGTTATAGTCTTGTTTAAACAGTTTTTATCTTCTTGGCTTAACTTTGGCACTTGGAGGTTATCTAAGAATGGATGTATTTCTACTATAATTTCCAGTTTGTTTGAGTAAAGGCTTGCAAAGTAATCCTGAGTTACATCCTCAGACTCATTCAAAATCTCATGATGTCCCAATCTTCATCACTCATTTATTTTGGTTTCTTCTTCTTTGGGTCAGAATGCCTAATGATTTATCAATTTCTACACTTTTCATTTTTGAGGAATTGGTTTTTAGTTTTGTTGATTCATTGTAGAATTTGTGTGTGTGCGCACATACATGCACATGCATATGTACATGTATTTCTTCTTCATTGATTATTGCCCCATTTTTATTATACACAAAAGATTTCATCCCCAGAGTAGTGCTATTGAAAGATGTGTGTGAATTTTAGGAGGAGGGCTTAGTGGGAAGTCCTTAAGTCATTGGGTATGTTCCCAAGAAGAGTGGGTGTGACCCTGAACTTTATCTGTGAAGTGAGTAGTTGGACCACCTATATCCTCCTTACCCCTTGGCCTGACATGTCTACCAAAGGCCTAAAGCAATGGATCTGCCTGATCTCAAACTGGTACCTCCAAAACTTTGAGGCAAAATAAACCTTCTCTCTGTCTAAGTTCATTATCCACTTTCATTATTTTGCTGAAAAGCTGACTGAATTTGTTCTTATCCCACATTCTGCATAACAAAGCACTCTGTGCGGCTACTTTCTATATGCCTAGATTTTCTGTACAGGACGTAATCTTTCCCTTTCTAAGTTTATTTCTCAACTATGCATATTATAAACATGTAGGCATATATCATATACACCTATATATGCATATATATAACTTATATGTATATACCACTGAGAAATGCAAAAATCATTCCAACTTTTTACAAATATAAATTTATATTTTGTTTTATAAATGAGATACAAATTTTAGAAACAGTTTATTTTTATACTACAATAACTAACATCCTCTATGTCCCTGCCATATATTTTTTTCTGTCTTTTACACATAGGAAAGTATAGAGACAGAGATAGATTCAAGGGAATCAAAGACATTCACATCCATAAATACAAGCTCCTCATG